CAGCACGGGACGAGTTGGGGTCTGGGCGGGTGAGGAGCGATGAGCCGGGCTTTTGGAGGGGAAACGTGACCTACAAGGAGAGCTGTGCCTGCCCCCACGCAGCTCTCTAGCTCCAGCTAAAAAGCATGCTGGAAAACACACTTTTAAGTCAGGACCTGAAAGGGCCCCACTTCTCCCTTTCCCGTAAATGTGGAAAGACCCCCCCCCAAAACACGTGAGAGGGCTTGTTGGGAAAGAAAGGCAGCAGCAGCCGGCATCCCCAGCGTTAGGTTAATGTCCCAAAATAGTTACAGCCTCTTGCATCACCACAGCCAGACTGTCTGGGCAGCCAGGGACTTCCCTCCCCCAGAAGGACGTGGTTCCTCTCTGAAACACGGCGTGGCACGGACATCCCCAAGCGCACGCAGCCTTCGGCAGCACCAGGCGAGTGTCCTCCAGGCTGCTGGAGGAGAAAGCACCAGCTGGAGCTGGCGGAGCTCAGCAGTCCGGAGAGGACCAGAGAGCCATGGTTACATGGGGATGAAGGAGAACTTTTGGTGGGACTACTGAGGTCCTGATCTAAATCTTTCTGCAGTTAGACGTGGAGCCCCTCTTGCTACTAGGTTTTAAGCTCAGCAACAGCAACAGCTCTTTGCCGTGATGTTTTGGTGGAGAAATACCTCGCCTTATGTGCCTTTCTCAGAGCTGACCCGGTCAGCAGGGTGCAATGAAGGAAATACAACCTATAATTTCTTTAGGGGAACTCTGGTGACCCTTTTTAGCCCCACAGAGGCTGGGGAGATCCCTCCAGGGGGGAGCAACTTCATCAAGGCACGTCAAGCCTGCGTAGGCTGAGGGAGCGTGTCCAGCTCCATCAGCCTCCATGCACAGACAGAAGCCCTGACATCTGCATGCTTGTCCTGCCTCCCCACGAACCTTGAGGGACACCTCCATCCAGCAAAAGGTGCCCCATCCCTTCTTCCTGTGGAGGAAGAACACAGGGAGGCACAGGCAACACCTGCCCAAGGCGGTCCCTACGGTGGTGGCCACCAGGGAGGTTTCTTTCTGTCCTCCGTGCAGCAAGGGAGGGAGGTGGCTGGTTGCCAGCCAGCCCGTGTGGCTACAGGCCACCTCTGCTAAAGCTCTCACCTCCGTGCCCCAACCTGGCTGTTCGGGTCCCCAGGATGTCGGGAGATCTGCTCCTCTGCAAGCTGGCACCGCAGCTGGAGCTGAATGCGCCCAGCCTGGAGGAGGGGGCTTACTGAAGACCCTATGAAAAGAGCATATGGGACCTACTGCTGGAGCAGTGCCTGCTCCGCTAGTAAATAACCACCGCGGTCTCCGGAAAGGTTGGGTTTGCAGCAGGGCTTGAAGGAAAAGGTGCAGGCAGGAGGCCCGTGCAGTTGCCTCGACTCTGGTTAGCCACTTCCCGTCTCTCGGCGGCCCTGCGTACGCTGCTCTCGCTTCTAAGAAAACAAGCAAGCAGTTAGCAGGCAGCAGGCTGCAGGGCGGTGAACGCATGGCTGGAAGCGGTGCCAGCCTTGCAGGTGGCCCCGTGCAGGCACCGCGTGCCTGCTCCGGCCTGGCTACGGCTGGGATTCTTCTCCGCTGACCGTGGTGGGATGGGGGGCTGCCGCCCGCGTTCCCTGCCCTCTGCTGCCTGCGCCCCGACCAGCCTGGACCGGCAGCTCCCAGCTGATGCTGCGGGGTCCAGCATCCCCCGGGCAGTGCTGCTCAGGGGCTGACTGTCCCCAGCTCCTCCAGCACCCTCAGCTCCCCCCCCCGGTGCCTCTGGAGGGTGGGTTCCCACCCTGGCAGGTCCAAAGCACTCTCAAGACTCTTTGCAGAGCGCTACACAAAGTCCAGCCTGACCCTGCTGCTCCCAGGCCCCCTTGGCCCTGGTCCAGCCTCCTTCAAGCTGCTGTGGGAAGAGGGGCCCAGGGGAGGAACTGACGTGCCGCAGGACGTGCTTGTTCGCGCTGATTATTTTTGCAGCACCTCCACCGCACGTGGACACAGGGGCCATCCGACCCTCCCCACCGACCACCTCAGTCAGCCTCAGCCCTCCCTGTGCTTGGGTTTTCAGCCGCCCCATGAGCGTGGCCGGGAGGCTGTGGTCCCCCCAGGCTGCACAACAGCCCTCGGACAACTGTCCCCCCATGGGCTGGTGGATGCCGTAGCCCCCATCTCCATGCCACCCTGCCACCCAGGCGTGTCCCCAACCCCTGCCTGGGGTCCCCAGGAAAAAAAATCCCCCACCCTGTCCCAGCAGAGGACCTGCAGGAGCCCCTGTGCCCAAAGGGGTCTGCTTGCAGCCATGTGCACGAGTCTGTCCGGGGGGGGTTAGGCTGAGCATCGCCGTTGCTGCTGGTGTTGGTGCAGGCTGGGCAGGACGGCGCTGGCATTAGGTCTCATGTCACCCTGTCACCCACATGTAGCACCAGCACCGTGGGGTGCCCAGTGCCAGCCCCACCGTCCTCCCAGCACCAACCCAAGCAGATGCTGACAGCTATATCATTGGGTGCAGGCGGTACCACAAGCCCTGGAGAGGCTCCTGTGCAACATGGGGCGGCTCGACCTCATGGTGCGGGCAGCACCCACGTAGCCTGCCTGATTCGAGGGGCCAGAGGAAACCTGGGGTCAAACCCAAACCCCTCTCCTGGCAACCTCCACAACAAACAACCCCTCTGGAGCTTCACCGAGTCTGTTATTTTGCTGCAGGGGTGTATCAGCAGCAGCAGATTTGGGGCTTGAAAGTATTTATATCTGCAGCTGCTTAGCAACGTTTGCAGACGCCGTGCTGGTGCGAGCCGGCGAGTGACACCCAGGGAAGGTGACGGTGTGGGATTCCCCAGCCCAGCACCGAGCACTGCCGGGATCCAGCCAGAGACTATGCTGTCGGGCGGGCCGGGGGTGGTCTGTGAAAAATCCCTTCCCACGCAGGCTGGTAAGGCGCTTGTGATGCCCAGAGGCAGAAAGGGACTGTGGGTGGAATAAATACGAGTCAGAGCTAGATTGCAAGGGCGAAACGCCTGTGTGCAATGACTCAGAGGGGAAAAAATGTCCCGAGTGACATTGGGGTTGCTGTCATCACCAGTGTGCATGGCAGGGACAGTCCCCGCAGCTCCCGCTGCCCTGGCCCCATTGATGTGGGCTGAGTCTCCCCGCAGAGCGGGGTGCTCCGGCCCCCGTGGCACAGCCGAACATCATGGGTGCATCTCCGAGCATCACCTCCGCCCCCAGCCCCCGCACTGCTCTCACCCCCATCTTCTAGCTTCCCCTTGAGGGGGGTGTGTGTCCGTTTGGGAGGCAGATCAGCAGCCGCATCACGCAGCGTGGGGAGAACGGCAACGGACAGTGCCCCCCCCCAAAAATGCCCCACACAAAGCTCTGCTGGGGCTGCTCAGAAGGCCCCGCCACACTCCTGCCCTCCCTCCCACCCGAGTGCTTGAGATTGCAGGATTAATGCGTGTTCAGCAGACTTCTGGGACAGCACTAAGCCCCAGGCTGGCGGATCAGATGACCAATATCCTCCTGGTCAGCACCCCATGAACCAAGGGGCGAGGGAAGAAGCTAAAACCGTCTTGTTTCCTGCTCAGACAGTTGCAACAGAGCCGCACGTGGTCCTGCTCCATGCAGACATCACATGGAAGGAAGGGCAGCGCTGCCAGCCCAGGGATGAGCAGGGCCCCACGTTCCTCCGCTCTCCTGAGCTCCTCCTGGTCATCCCACTGCTCATGGGGCAGCTTCTGGGGAGGGGAAACCCAGGGGTGGACTGAGCATCCCTTACAACTGCCAAATCTCACTCCGAGCTCAGCTGCCCCCAGGTCGATCTCACGCCTGAGCCGTTCCCTCTACAGCACCTTCTGCCTGCCCCACCGAGCCACTCACCCGGCAGGGACAAGCAGGGACCCAGCCAGGCAGGGAGTCTCCCCGCACCACCCGAGCCAGAGGGCTGCATCCCCCGGGGACTCGCTCCCGGGGTTGCTGTGAGCGGCAATAACCAGAGGAAGCGTCACCAGGGCACTTCTGTTAGGAAGCGGGACCCCCGGAGCAGCGTCACCCATGGACGCCCCACCCCAGCCTCCCCCAGCACACTGGGAACAAACCCACAGCCGCAAACCCGGCTCTGCATCGAGGGGCCTTGGTCTTATTTCTTTAGGCCAAGCAAGAAAGACTCCCTGGAACGTATCTTTAGGGTAAAGTAGGGGGCTTTTCAAAAGAGAGCCTCAACAGGAGCAGAGCAGGTCCCACAGCACCCCAGGAACAGGTCCCAGGGGCCTCCTCCCACCGGAGCAAGAGGAGCGGGCAGTGGCTCACCTCCCCTAGCAGACGGAGGTGGAAAGGGATGGCCCCTGCCCTCCTCTCCCACCCCCTCGCTGCCCGAGGGCCAGAGCCCATGTGATGGGACGGCCGAGCAGCTGCCACGGCCATTTACCCACCCTGCAGCTCCTGAAGAGCCCCCCGGCTGCGCGGCTCCAGCCCTCCTCTCCCCCCTCCCCAGCGGGCTCAGGGCCACCAGGCGGGCTGGATCCAGCCCCGCCGGGGCAGCCAAGCTCCCTGCCAGCTCCTGGGCTTGCTCCAGGGAGGCCCGAGCTCACGGACTGGGGTTTGCCCAGGGGATCACAAGGCAGCAGGAGGGTTTGAGTCCTGGGGACACGTTGCAGGGGGCTTCACCAAGGCCCCCCCAGCAGAGCTGGCTCCCTGCCTCTGTCCATCCATCCCTGCTGCCAGGGTCAGAGCTCAGAGCACGGCAGCTGCTGGCAGAGGGCAGCCCAGCCTGCCCCACGCTCCGCCACGGGCAGGGAGGACCAGGGGGTCCCCTGCCCTGCTTCAGGCAGACAAATGCTGCTTAATTTGCTTCTCTGAGGCCTCTCCCCCCTACCTCTCTGATGCCGCGTGGGCTGGCAGCCCCCAGGGCTAGGGCACAGCACAGGCACGCCTGCTCCCACCCCTGCAGGCAGCTGCAGAGAAGAGAGGAGCCCTCGGGAAAAGGCTGGACACAAACACAGACAAGCACGGAGACTTAAAATCCCGTTCATAAAAATACATCCCATCTGTACAGTGTGTAACATCCTTTTTACAGTATTTACAGCAGCAGTCGGGGCAGAGGCACTTGGGGTGCAGGCAGGGGCCTTATTTGAGGCTACTCGTGCAAAGCAGAGGGCCAGCAGTGGTTGTCACTGCCTGCGACAGATGCTACTGTGGGAACTGGCTTTCCTGACCCAGGAGGGGACACCAAGGTCTCACTGATGTGCTGCAAGCTGATCTTCCCTAAAATCACCCAGGGTTTCTCCTCCGGCTTCAACGGGGGCATAGACCCCCACCCCCAAACCCACTCAGTCACAAGAGCTGCCAGCCCCCCTCGTAGGACAAAGCCTGGTGCCCTCACCAAGAGCTCTTCTCATCTCAGTGCTGGCAGAGTCCTGCCCTGCACGCGGGAGCGGAGCAAGGCCCAGCCACCATCACAGCCCAGCTGCTCGTCCCGTCGCTGGATCAGCCCCCGGCGCGGAGCAGCGTGGCATGGGAGAGCAGTGGTCCACGCAGGCAGTGGGTGGCAGGGGCACAGAAGCAGAGGGTGCATCGGGGAGGCACGGGGCTCATCTGCTGTGGGTCCTCCTCTCCAAACTTGCCACCAAAACCACGTCTCACATCTCTGCAGGACGATCAAGGGGCAAAAAAAGATCAGTGAGACGACTGTCGGGGAGAGGAGGGCTGCACGGTGCACTGCCCCCCCCCCCCCCCGCCACCCACCCCGCAGGGGTAGAGCAGCAATCCGGGGGGGCAGGCTCTGGTCCCGTTCCTGCTCCACTGCCTCCCGGTATGACTCAGGGCCAGCAGAAGCAGCACTTCCCATTAGCTACCGCATTTTGGACACTCAGAAGGGAAGGGAACAGATACTGAGAACTGTGAGTTATGCAGTCTGCCTAGGGGGAAATATTTTATTTTCTTCAAAATCAAGTTCTCTTTGCCTCCAGCCTGTCACCCAGGGACCCCTTTGGAGAGGAAGTGTGGCCCCTGCCTCAGTTTCCCCAGCAAGGAAGCTACTGGGGACCAGCCAACCTCACAGGACTGCAGAACTGCCTGGGTAAAGTTGCCAGAGATGCCCAACACGGCACCACCCCCTTCCCCAGGGGTACCTGCAGCCAAGCCCTTTACCAGGGGGAAAACATCTGCAGGAGGAGACCGTGACCCGCCCAGGCTCCCCGAGGGCTGGGATTCCCCGCTCTGCCACGGCACAGACCCTCTGAAGTGGTTTCCTCTCTGCAGGTGCAGAAGTCTCACCCCGAGACCTGCCCACGGCTTTGCTCAGTGCCAACATGCCCCAAGGGGCACTTCCACAGGCATGCGTTAGGTGGTACTTATCGAGTCTGAACCCTCACTTGCCTCCCTCCAGATGGGGTATTTCCACAGGGCTGATTTTTTCCAGGCTGGGATATACCACAAGGAAAAATACTCTTTTCCTCCTGCTCACCTTCCCCCCCATAGCAAAGAGAAGCCTTTGAGCAGCAGTCGGAGAGATGCTGTAGGCAGAGCCACAAGCATCTGTACATCTTCCTGAAAACATCAATAGCTCTGCAGGTTGCGCTGTTTGGCCACCTTTTTTGCAGGCCTTCATTGTCAGGACCAATCTGGCCTTCACACCCCCAATCCCCTCCACCAGGACGGTACCGCCATCTCCACTTCACCAGTTGGGGGAAACTGAGGCACCAGAAAGGGGAGACACTCAAGCAGGGGAATTTCTGCCCCAGCTGAAAGAGCTTGAAGGGGGATGGGGGGGTGACACCCAGATGAGCACCCCCCACAAAACAAAAGACAGAAGGATTCCACCCCTGCAGCCAAAACCAGGCTGTAAGTCCCCTGCAGTGGGAGCCCCAGCTGGGAGGGGTGCTGGGCCTGGCCCCGCCGAGCCAGAGGCAGCGGAGAAGCCCCAGCCCAGGCATCCTGCCATGCTGGATGCAGCTTGGGGCTCGGGAAGCACAGGGATCAGAGCTGCGTACGTACCCTCCAACACTTTATCCAGATCCGCAATGAACTCCTCCAGCTCCTGCGTGTCTCCAAGCTTAGCTAGCGGAGAGAAACACACCGTCAGGTCTCTCCCATTCCCTCCCCCCAGCTCTAATTTGAGAGAAGGAAGATCCCTACCCCTTGCTTCTAACCACAATTGCTCCGTCTGCCTGCTGCTTCTGTACCAGCCAGGTGCTGCCTGGCAGCGGTGGGAGGGGGTTACGGGGGGGCTGCGTGTGCAACGGGGGCCGATCGCCGCAGAGCTCAGGAATAACCCCAGCCAAACGCCCCCGAGCACAGCGTCCCTGTGGGTCGATGCATCTCCGGGTTTACAGCCCACGCTTGTACCCAGCTGCTGAAGGCATCAAAACAGCAGCACCGAAGCTTTCCAAGCAGCTGCCCAGCACTGCCTGGCTCTGGAGTCCCGTGCTCGCATGGGGCTTAAGGGCAGCTCTAGCATCACCCGTCCCCCGGGCAGGGTGCTCCCCCCCGCGTGCACACACAGATCAGGGCTGGGAGTCACAGGGCTGAGGAGCAAGGGGTTTCACCGAGGATGCTGCCTGAGGGCAGCACGGGCAGGAAAACCCCAGGACTAACTCCGACCTGCAGACACACAGCATTCCCACCCCCCCACACCCAAACCCACACACACCCTCTGCCCCCGATCTCGGAGCCAGGCTCTGGGGGGTAGGATGGTGCCCGCAGGTATCACGCAGATAAGCGTCCCATAACCCAGCCAGTGGCGCTTCAGGCTCAACGTGGGGGAAAGCAGAGAGGCAGGGCACATACGCCCACGCACACGAGGTCGGTCAGCAAGGGCTCAGCCGAGGCCAGAGCCGGATCCATACATGGTGGGAAGGGTGCTCACCTTCCCTGCGCTGCCTCATCCCTGCACAGTCCTGTGCTTCCCAGGTCAGGAACAGAGCCCCATTCTGTGACCCTCCCAAACAGACCTCTGGCTCAGTCTAGCCTCGACCAGGAACATGCCAGTCCAACTTCATACCTCTTCCAGGATCCAGCCAGGACCCCAGAGCTCATTCCCACCTCCAAATACTGCAGGGCGCCATTGGCACCCACCCCCCCACCCCCCCCTCAGGGCAGGTGAAGGCCCATCCCCGCTGAGCCGAGCCAAGCACACAGAAGGAAGCCCTAGCATCAGCCCTTCGGACAGATCTTTCAGCCTCACCTTTAGAGGGGTAAGCAGTGGCAGGGGTGTTGAGGTCCTCCTCGCTGGAGTTGAGACTGCTTCCCGGGGACGTGCAGGTACCTGCAGATGATGCAAAGCATCAGTCACTGTCCACAGCCACAGGGACCTTATAAACAAGTTGCAGGACCGGGGACCAAT